CAATAATGTGCTTCATGACGACATAACCTTATACTACTATCTGTGACAGCTAAGAGGTTTATGAATTTCAATTAAACTCAGTTATTTACTGCAAATAAAAATTACAATATCTTTGGCATTCTTATATTGATAAATTGAAACTCTCTCACTGAGTCTACTTTACTACTTTTTGGATTATCGCTCACTAATGACCTATGTCATTATGGAAACCATATACAATCCATTGCAAAGATAGCATCTGGTAAGTTTCTATTTATTTTGCTCAACATTATCTTACTCCTGATTACATTCTGTTATCATGTTTGGATGATTTTCTCTTCTAGAAAAATTATAGTTAACGGATTGTAAATGTAGTTGGAAATGCTCTAACATCCGAGCTGGAGCCACTCTCCCACCAACTTAAGATTGCATTTCTTTCTTTTATCTATAAACATTATTATGGTTGCTGCTCAAACGAGTTATTATCTCTTTCATTAACCAAAAAATATTCTTGCTTGACTTGTTATTCAGCAAAGTCGCATACTTTTACTTTATCGGTTCCTTCATGCTCTAAAAACTTTTATTTGTCTAGTTTTTTTCCATACTCATCATTGCTATGGAGTTTTTTTCCATCTTCATATTTTCCTGACAACCTGCGGCTTTTTAAGTCTTCTTTTCGTACAATTTAACCCTATTTTTTCTCTAGTAACTTCCAACTTTTTCTTATTGCGGTTGCTTACAGACTTGTTGGCAGTATAAAAAATAAATTAGATTTGTCTATAATTTTTTTATTTAATAACAATTTAACAAAAATATTTCATTACTATTTTAAAATCATTATATTTTTATGAATAAAACTTTATACTTAGTTAAATGTGTATTTATTTAGTAAAGTAAAACTTTATCATATTAAAAACATTTTAGCTAAAATTGATAGGTGTCATATTATATAAGTAAAATATAAAATCAATATTAAATTAAATAACGCATAGAAATAAAGTCAATAAATTTTTAATAGTTTTATTTGAAAAAATTAATAGATAGCAAATAGTCATGTTAACCCATAACAAAATAGAAATACAAAAAACGTCACGAATTATTTAATTGGTCTTTAACTTAAGAGCGAGAAGAGGAACTTTAGGACAGAGGTAGTTGAGGACAAATCAAAAATTTTAAAAAATACAAACGTATCAACCAAGTTAAATATATTAGTTGATTAGAAATACTTTCATACGTCACGTAATTTTTTTCAATAAGGTATTTAGATTGCAAACGTTTGATTATTTTTGATTTACTGTAACCTTTAAACGTAAGGAATTATTTTTTGCATTTTTAGTGAAAGATATATGTTCTACGATATAAATAAGAAATTTGATTACGGTAGGGTGGAGTAATGTGAATCTACGGGGTAGTCTGGGTAATTTTAAATCTAATTTATATTTATCTGTTATATTATTAATGGCTTTAGGTATAAAAGTTTTAACTTTTACCACTTTGTTATAATATGTTAAGCTAATTAATTTAAAAATATGACCCAACTGTGCCGTTAGAAACGGTATTTTTTTTAGCTAAAATGCATTTTTTTCATTTGTTTTTAAACTTCAGGAAAAATATATTCAAATAAGGCATAAGCATTTGGAAAATGGTTATTTTGAAAGCTTAATTACTATATTTTCAAGATAGTATAGCTTTAAAATACTAATTCACGTCGTTTGTTTAAAATTTAAAATATAATCAGGTGGGGTAATGTTGGTCTATGTATGTAAAATATTAGGATATGTCATTACATTATTGAAGTTGTTGTAAATAACATTATAAACCTATTAGTTTCATCAGGTCTGAACATTTATGTGTTTGTAGAAGGTCAAGAACTGTTAAACATTATGTATGAAGTTTATATCTTATGACTAATTAAGTAGCACGTGCATTTATTTGTATGAAACAATATGTTCACCTAGGTAAAATAAAGTTTTATATAAGACCTATTTGGTGTTATAATATAGATTGAGGATTAAAGTTGTGTGTGTGGGGGAGGGGGGGAGAAGAGGAGGGGAGGGGAGAAGGGCCATTTACTAAAAGCAAACATTAAGAAATTTACTCTTCTGCTAGTTTGTACAACTTTTTTTCTGCGAGATTTTATTTACAGCGGTACAGGACGTTCATTGGAGTCTAAAGAACATTATAAAGACTTGTTACGTTTATAAGGCGTTGTATAGATGTCTTACGGATGTCTGTGCCCACTCGGTTGAAGCAAAATGATTTATTAATAATCAAAAAAGACGTTGTTTTGTCATTGTTAACCGCAGATAATTTTTGATCTTTAGTCTACTGAAACTTCTCTCATTAAAAGCAGATGTAAAAGGAAGAGTCAAGTTGATTTTGTAGAGTATATACAAGTTAGGAAAACTTGATGTTATCTATTTCTCCTTTTAAAAACGAATTTACGTCTTTCATTTTTAGTTCAGTCGTGATTGCTGGAGATATTGATGATACACATCTTTGAAAATGGACTGGTGCGAGTAGGTTTCAAGTGGGAAGGGGGTGCCATACGGGTTTTGGTCAAAAACATTTTTAACATATAAACACAAATTTAAACTACTCCGCAATGTTGAAATTAGTTCATTTATAACTTTTTGTTTTTCTCGAAAGAAATTTTTTTTGCCGTTTGTAAAGTCATTATAGTTTTATCAACATCTGTGACTGTACAGTCACAGTAGTTTGGATACATCAAACTCTGTTAAAAATCCATCGGTACGTTATGCGTACCAATGGATTTTAAGAGATATTTTATTTAAACAAAACGTCTCTGTTTTATTTTCTGCCATATATGCAGGCAAATTTGTAAAATAGGTATGTAAACAATGGTTTGTTGTTATCTAATTTTCTATTTCCATTTAAACAAATGCAGAATTTAGAAATTTATATTTTAGGGGGCGCCAGTTGACTGGCTTTTGGAGCTCAAAGGGGCAGCTCGCACCCTTTGCCTTATGCTAAATCCGCCACTAATAAAAACTCCTTTTAAAAATAAAATTCCTGGGAAATAATAAACTACTTTTAGGAAACGTCATGTTGTAAAAGTGCGGTTGGGTAAACCTGAAATATTTATATTGTCCAGAGCTAAAAGTTTAACACATGAAGTTGTAAATAAATTTTTTTTCTTATTTATCTGATGTAGTTCATAATAATAACATTGTATCAAGTAATATATAATGTATCTGCTGAAACAGCAACAATACTAAAATACCAAACAAAACAAAAAAAGTGAGTAAAAGCAAAATCTGGAGAATCTCTTATAAATGAAAAAGTCAAACGACGATTACTCGAGGAACAAAAAGCTAGAGAGAAAAAAAAAAACCAAATTAAAAAAAATGTATAAAGCCATTAAACATTAAACTTTCACAAAAATTTTGTGGAATATATTATAAAATCAGGGTTGAGGCAGCATTGAAAAATCTTCACAGGGCACATTTTGAATGTTGTGACCTTTATTTTTTTAATTGAGTTTCAAGAAAAGTTTTATTCATGTTTATCTAATTCCATTTTACATTCACACTCTTTACTTTTTTATTTCAAGTTATTTTTGTACTTATGAGATTGATAGGTAATTAAAAAGCATTTTCATTTTTGTTTGTTTGAATATAATGTACGAGAAAACTATTTATTCATTAAATAATTTTTTTTAAATATTATATTCATTAAATAATTTTTTTTAAATATTATATTCATTATATAATTTTTTTTAAATATTATATTCATTAAATAATTTTTTTTAAATATTATATTCAAACAGAATTAAGAAAATGATGAAAACAGAATTAAGAGAATTATTACCAATTAACGAAATTGAATAAACAGTTTTATCTCAAACCATTAAGTTAATGTTTTGAGATATAAAGAAAAATATGTTACTGTTAATAAAAAAAATTGCTCGATAAAAAAAATAGAATTTTATGAAACATTTCTTGTCTTTTTATTATATTTCCTTAACTTTCCCAATGTCGTCCAGAACTACCCCCTCTTGTGGGGTAGTTTTAGACAATTACACTTTACTTTTTTTTTAAGAATCAATAACTAAATTATTTTTTTCAGCAAAAATTTCAACTTTTTGTCAAACAATACAAATGTTATGGTATCTCTTTTAAAAAACATCCTTATGTGCCCCCTTCTCCCCTACAATTGATATTGACCGATAGACAGACTTGATTTAAAAGTCACTTTTTAAACGTTGCAGTTAACTTCTTTTTCCAATTTCTAAAAAACTTAGCTTTGTCTTAAACAATAAACAAAAAAAAAAAAATACAAAACAATTAGCGAGCGAAAAAAAATATGATAAACTGTTATCTAAATATTACTCCGGAGTAATAAAATAAAAAGAATTTCACATTTTCAATAAATCAATTTTTCAATGAAGAATAATCTAAAGTAAATGAATGGTTTATAAGTAACCGCCTTTCACTAAATGTAGATAAAACTAAATTCATCCTGTTCCACAAACCAAATAAAGTTGATAATATTCCACTTAAACTGAAAAATCTTTTATTCAACAAAACAGATGAAAAAAGGGAATCTACTGTTAACTTTTTAGGCGTAATTCTTGATGAAACCTTGTCATGGAAGTTTCACATCCAATCTATTGAAAGTAAAATCTCTAATAATATTTCCGTACTTTATAAAACAAAACCATTTTTAAACGTAAAAGCTCTAATGAAAATTTATTTTTCAATTATTCACAGCTATCTTTCTTACTGCAACATTGCATGGGGAAGTACGAATTACGGAAAACTCACTTTTTTGGGGGAGTGTTGATTCTAGCTCTCGTAGTTTTTAGTTATTTAAAGGGTTGTTAACCCAAATGTAGATGTGTTTATTTTAATGAAAACATACCAAATAATGTAATATTAATCTGCAAATTATTTCTATGATATCTGTGGACAAGTGACACAACTTCTAATTTATTTATCAAAATTATTTTAAATAAGATTTTATAATAATATAAGTATTATTTATACTACTATACAATTATAGATTATATTGTTAAATAATATATACATATAAAAATATATATTACAGTGTTAAAAACTGTCAACTTATGATATCTTGTGATATTTGTAAATTCATTGAACTTGCTGTTCCAGCCTCGTCTCTTTATATGACAGGACCTCAAAGACCTCAGATACATGCTTCTTTAAAAATTACATTAAACTACTTACGTTAGACGACACTTAAAATTCGCTTTCCATGCGCAGTCATCTCATCTCAAATACGAAATTAAAAGACTAAAGCGGATCTAACTTAGAGCAACGAAAGTAACTAGTGAGCGCAAACATATTTTTTATTCAGGCAGGTAGACTAAAGGTAGCATTGAGTTGATTTTTTTCAAAAAGCGTTTTTTATGTTAAAAGCAGCTGATTATGTTTGTTCCAAGTCTTTAAGGCATTTTAGAGTGAACATTATTCGTTTTCACGACATTTTGTATTAGTTTTGAGGTCACCTTAAAAAAAAAAAGTTGTTATCGATTTTTTCCATCAGCATTGTTTCAAGACTTAGCAGAGTCCTTTGTAAGTAATTTCTTTCATCATTGGTTGGGGTTCTGAAAAAAAGAAACTAAATAATTTTTTTCATAAAAAAATAGTTTTGATCATATTATTCAATAAAAATTAATTTTTAAAAAATGGACGATTTATGTGGAACTTTTTTCTTCAAAAATATTTACTACAATAACTAATGTTTAACTTATATTAACTTATAACTTATATATATTATTCTATAACATATTATATATTATTATATATTATTATATAACTTATATATATTATTCAGTTTGATAAATATCCCGCCAAATAAATAAACGTAAAATGGCGGACCAAAGTTTGTCTCTTAATAAAACGCAGGGCTTTTTGACCCCGCTATCTATCTAGCTACCTCTCAGTAAACTAATTTAAATAAAGAAAAAAATAAAGTAATTTATCTTAAAATTTTTTTTAAGATAAATAACAAAAAAAAGTTAGGAAAATGAAATCAAACTCAACACAATAATACTTTACAAATAGAAACGTCATTTTCCTATCACACAACAACAACAACAACAACAACAAGCTAAATTGTTCCCTAAATTCCGTAAATTGTTTTTACAATAGTTTTGATAATATGATAATAACAATAATAGTAATAATAGTAATAATAATAATATATTATAATAATATAAGATAAAAAAAAAAATTATACAAATTATAGTAATAGTAATAAAAGTATATTTAAAATAATTACAATGAAAAAATAATAATAATAACTAATATTAGTATAATAATAAATTAATGATTTATTAGGATGGTGGCCCTCATACAGAAATCTGATCAAAGGAGTGACACCAATTTTTAATACAAGTAATAATAAGCAAAGACGCACACTGAAACACATTGACCGTAAACACATAGACCAAAGCACATAAAATATACATCAAAACAAACATGTAGAAATCAATTTACTGATGATAATTGTAGTAATTACGAATAGAAAATTAAAAGAATATTTTAATCGTAAGGATAATAATGTCAAAAAGTTAAAATAAAAAGCTTTTCAGAATTTTTTTAAGTTAATATTGTTTAGTTAGATGGAGTAAAGATATTTTAGAATATATTTTTTTGGACTCATTCAAAATGCATCCAAGGCTCCTGTTCCATTCACAGATGCACTGATAAACAATAGAACGTTTACCATATTTCTAGGTTTTAAAAGATGGTACATCTAATTTTCCATTGTGAATATTTCTAGTCGAGTAGGAATGTAATAGTCTAATTTCTGTGAACAAGTTTGTGATAGGAGATGGTATGTTTTTATTTAAGGAATCAAAAATAAAAAGAAGATTAGCATACTTTACAAGCGCTGGAAATGTTAGAATGAAAAGTTTTTTGAAGGACTTTTATGTATCTGATTTAATTGGTTGGAAGTTTATTAATCTGTTGGATTTGCGCTGAGACAATAGCAATTTGTTAATGCGATAGTTTCCAACTTGACCCCAAACTTGACAACAATAGCTAAAATGAGATGAAAATAATGCATAGTAAATATTCTTAAGTGTAACTTTATCAACATAATGACGAATTATTGAAAGCATACCGTTAGCTCGAGATTTTCTTGCTTTCTTCATCAATATGAAAGTCCCATGAAAGATTGCAATCAATTAATACACCAAGATATTTAGTAACTCTTGAAGGATATAGCCGTTTATTATTAATTTTGATTTTGATTTCAACATTTTTAAAGAAATTGTTTTTTCTTGGAGATGAAAAAAAAAATTAGTTCAGTTTTTTCGGTGTTGAGACATATTAGGTTAGAATTTAACAAGTGAACTATACCTTTTAGATCCGAATAAACATTTTTACATAAAGAATGATACGATTTGTTGATGTGCAAGAGATTTGTATCATCAGCAAACAGATGGGCTGAAGAGAAGTGAACAGAGTTGAGTAGGTCGTTAACGTAGATTAAAAACAAAAGAGAACCTAGAACAGAACCTTGAGGAACACCACACAAAACTGATTTATTACTAGAATTGAAACCATTAATATTTACAAATTGTTTTCATTCTGAAAGATAAGATCGAAACCAGTCATTTACAATACCGCAAATTCCATATTGCTTTAATTTAGAAATCAAAATACTATGGTCAACGGTATCGAAAGCTTTTTGTAAATAGATAAAAACACCACAAACGGAATGACCAGTATCTGTAACTTTCCTGATTTTTTCCGTTATACTTACTAATGCATGGCAAGTAGAATATTTTGATCGAAAACCAAATTGATTAAATCATTTAAACAATTGAATGAGTTTAGAAAAAAGTACACTCTAGAATACATAAGTTTCTCAAGAAACTTACTAATGTTAGATAAAAGAGAAATAGGTCTGTAGTTAGTGCATGAAAGTTTAGAGCCATTTTTAAGTATTGGAATAACGCAAGATAGTTTCAAAATATCAGGAAATGTTCCATAATTAAATGAGGTATTAAATAGTTTTGAAAGAATATTTAAAAATTCGTATTTAAAATCTATAAGAATATTTGTGGGAATGCTGTTAGGACCTAATGATGTTTTTGGATTCAATTTACATATAAGGGATAAAATTTTAGGAATATTTGTTGGAGATAATAATGAACTGTGTAATGTAAATTTGGATGTTTAAGATATTTGTGATAGTTAATGAATAAATATTGGATATAAAGATGAATAAGTATTGGATTTAAGTTTATGAGCAACATTTGTAAAAAAAGTGTTAAATAATTCAGAGATAAGAGTCGGGTCAGTTATATATGTATCATTTTCTTGCAAACAGTTGGGAGATGATTTATTGAAATTTTTTACATTAATTAAAGTGTTAATACCTTTCCGAAGTTTGCAAAGATTTTTTACATTTTCTGAGAAAAAAATTTTTAATGTTTTTTTTTACTAAGTTTAATTAATGTAACTATTATATATTTATATCTTTTAAAAATACTTTCAAATTTTTTTTTATTAATAAGATCTTTAGATCTTAACATTTTTTGTAGGAAAAGATTGTGCACTTGAATAGATTTTATAATTCCTTTAATAATCCATGGTCTGAACCGACGTTTGAAGTTTTTGATACTTACTTTTTTAAGCGAGCGTAGCGATCTAAAATCAATGTTGTTTCAGTAATAACTTTTGGAAACATGTGTTAGTATCATTGGATTTTGTAGTATTGTCCCAGTCAATTTTTGATAAACTAGATTTAAAGTTTTCTTTATTAAAGTTTTTAAAACTCCTGCTATATAAATTGTGCCTGCGTGGTATAAATAACTTATTGAAATTGAGACAAATATAAAATTGAGGTAAGTGATCAGAAACAGAAGTTGTCAAATTTCCTGAAACAATTTCATTGGCAATTATGCTAGAGAAAATATTATCAATAATTGTAGCAGAGTGATCAGTAATTCTAGTCGGCAAAGTAATAAAAGAGCGAATATTATAAAAAGAAAATAAGTTTAAAAAATCAGATGTCGCAATGTCATTATTTGATTGCATCAGATCAATACAATAATCTCCAAGTAAGAAAACAGATTTATTTTCAGCAGATAATTTTTGAAGTAAGACAGATATGAAATTATTAAAAATATTAAAATCCATGCAAGGGTGTCTATAAATGCAACCAACATTAATGTTAAACTTTTTAGAAAAAATAACTTCAACAAATGTGGATTCTAAACAGTTAGGTGTATAAATCATTAAATCATCTCTTCGTTTGTATATTAGTTTTTTTGATAAATATAATAATGTACCGCCAAAAAAGGATTCCGTTGGTGTGTGCTCAATGTTGTAATTATTAATGAGAATCGGATGAATTGAGGATGTTCCTTTTTTTAACCTTGTTTCAGTTATACCAATAATGGAAAAATCAAAATTAATTAATGATAATTAAATTAAATTAAATCCTCAAAGTGTTTTTGTACTAAGTACACACACAAATGACAGTTTAAAGTCATAGTGAACCACAATATTAGTGAAAATGTAAGAAACAATAAGTTAGTAGTTAAACAATAACGCAACAGCTAAACGATCAGTAAACACCGTAGCGGAAATAATTTATTTGAAAAAAATGTCCACCAGATGCGGTTTGCATTTTCGAAACCACGATACTTTGAACAACTATAATCTAAACATTGAAAATATTATGTCGACGTCTTTCAAAAAACTTATGCGGCCGTGGTGCAGTGGTTAAAGCAGGAGATCCAGGCAGAAGATCCAGGTTCGAAACGAACTCTGGACATATTTTCGCGTCACAGTAAAGAAGGAGGCGTGAACTTCCTAGTTAAATGTAGTTCGGCGGTACTCTGCCACAAGATTAAATGGGCAAGTCATAAGTTTTAGGTGTTTAGAATAGCAAGGAGGTATAATAGCTTAGCTGGAGGGAGAACGAAGTCGAAAATGGATTTAAATCGCGTTACAGTCTTTGTAGTACTACAAAGACTGTATTGTTATTATACTAGTATAACTATTCCAGTAGCAAATCAAAATGGCGCTTTTGCAAAAAAATGAAAAATTTTGAAATGTAATCAGTAAGCTTTGAGAGTTCTAATCGCAATGGATTAACAAAATAAAAGTTTGTTGGATATGTTTTTAACAACTATTTGATCAATCAATTAAACGGTCTAAAGACGTTTTATTCAAGACGTCTTAAAGATGTCTTAAAAAGGTCTAGGTTGTCCGTCGAAAAGATATCTTACTCAAGATAGCTTAAAGTCATCTTACTCTAGACAGATTAAAAACGTCTCACCCAAGCGCTCTAAAAACGTTTTACTGAAGAAGTCTTATTTTAGAAGACTTTTAGGTATTTACTTTAGATAAAATTAATGCCGCATTTATTAGAAGCATAATTATAGAGAAAAAATAAATTAAAAAAAAGTAAATTAATTAATAAAATTTAAAATAATAAGTTAAAAGGGACATATAATACAATTAGATGTATTTTAATAAAGTATTTTTCTATATATTTGAAACTTTTCCAAACCTTCTTGTAACAACTTCTAAAAATAAATTAAAATTTACAAATACTTGCCAAATAATAAAATATAAACTTGCCACATAATTTATGCGGCAGTGTTGTTGTGGTAAGATCGCTCATTTTGTATGCAAGAGGTTCGGAGTTCGACTTCCACCGCGTCCCTGGAAGTACCGCGCTCATTTTAATTTCTCCGTGCAGCGGCCTTGCTTGTCAAGGTTCGTGTTTCGGAGATAAAGGGTTGTACCACGATTTACAATAAAAAATAAAAAACACAAAAAAATGAGTAGCCTTCTTGACTGTAGTGACCCCCCTCGGGCCTTGGGCAGGTAAATAACTTCAAAAAAAAAAAATTTTGACGATCACAAATTATAAAAGTAATTTTAACTTAACATAGATTTTGAATCAAATACTAAATGATAAAAATTGTTATCATATTAAAACTATTTTGTATTACCTTCTATTACATCATATATCTTCGTTGATAACAAACCAATTTTTCCACCAGAACCTTTTAAATTAAACTGTGCCAATAGAGTGTTTGTAAATAATCTATATAACATAAGGAATAAATAATACAATTTATGAAAAGTAAGCAGTTTACCATCCCAATGTAATTATTGGTTGCAATAACTACTATACTTAAAATACATATTTACAACAGAAAAATAAAAAAAAATTATTGCTCATATAAAAATATAATTAGAAAAACCTATTAATAACCAATCTTGTCAGCTGTTTATAATCTTCTGCGCCTAAAAAACTCAGTTGTTTAACCTAAATCAAAAAAAAATCAAAACCAAAATAACAAAATTATTTAAAATAATTATTTTACAAGGTTTTCAATATGTAAAGACAAAGTATTTATCTTTGTCTTTACATATTGAAAATATTTACATATTGAAAACCTTGTAAACTGAAAATAATTATTTTAAATAATTTTGTTATTTTGGTTTTGATTTTTTTTTTATTTGGTTTTGATTTTTTTTTATAGACAAATCAAGGCGAACTGAATCATCCTCAAAATATTTGACAAAATCTTCGTATTCTGCTATAGTCTCTAATTGCTTAACTGCCAAATTACTATGGGGTTGTTTATTTACCGCAATAATAAGCTCCTGGTTTTCAAGAATTTTTGATACCATCTTGAACATCATATGCTGGTATTCTGAATTATACAATATATATATATATATATATATATATATATATATATATATATATATATATATATATATATATATATATATATATATATATATATATATATATATATATATATATATATATATATATATACAGGAAAAAATTATTTATACCATTTCAAAATGACTAACAACTATTGTTTTTTGTCTCAAAATCATTCTTAAAATAATTAAAATGTGTGCACAGTCTCCACATTTTATTGCAAATAAAAAATAAATTAAATGGTTAGAAGAGCTTACTTCCAACTTCCATAGGAAACTGATTTTTAACTAACTTTTCTGGTCCAAGGGCTTCAATCGTAGTTTTTTTTTGTACTTCTTCTTTTGTTTTCTTTTTTTTGAACTCTTGAGTATGAGGTGAAACTAATTCCAACAAAAGAATTGAAATAAAAGAAAAAATTTCAAACAATATTTTTTAGATGTAAAATAATTATCAAAGACAGTGTACCTGTAAAAAAATTTGATTGTTCCTTTTCAGTTGATTCTGAAGGTTGAAAGAAGTTAGGCAAAGCTAAAATTAACAACAAAATAATATTTCAACTTTAATAAACAACTTTAACTATTAAATTTAAAAATAATACTAACACAGTGACTCAGAATACGAAGTTGATTGTTCCTCTGTATGTAAAGGTAAAGAGTGAGGCAAAGCTAAAAATAAGAATCCAGAAATATTTTAGATTGAAGGTGTTGCAAATTGAATTAATTCTAAATTTTAATAATTTAAAATTATTAGATACCAGAACAAATACTTGATTGTTTTAAAATATTAGATCCAGGTGACAAATTAAAATCAAATGATCTCTTTAATGATTTTGTTGGTATGGATTGCAAAACTGGTGGATGCAACAAAAAATCTGGTAACTCTAAAATATAATATTTATATAATTAATTAATTTTATTGTATTTACACTTCATATTAAAAATAAACTGTAAGCAAATTTTTAATTATACCATAAACATTACTTTTCACTTTAAATGCGCCTTTGGAACTCGTAAAACAATGATCTATTTCATCCTCCTCCTCTGCTGCTGTTGTGTAAACATATTCTTTTAGCTCATTTATATTATCTAAAAGAACAATAACTCTTATAAAATAAATATAAATATTAGATTTTTTTCCCGTACATCATATATTAATTCTGAAGAGTTCTTTAATAGTACTTATATAGTTTATTCAGGTATATATATATATATATATATATATATATATATATATATATATATGTAACTGAAATATATCTTAATAATTATTTAGTTTTCACTATATATATATATATATATATATATATATATATATATATATATATATATATATATATATATATATATATATATATATATATATATATATATATATATACAGTGGTTTTCAAAAATTTAGACGCACTCATATTTGAGAATAGAAATTTTTAGTTTTTTAACGATAAAATAATGACTAAAAAAGATTTCGGTTGAGTTTTTTTTCTATTTATCAGATAAATACATACAGAATACAAAATTTAAAAAAAGTTTACAAAAAAAATGAAATACTAAGTAATAATTAGGTACAACTACACGATATTAAAAAAATTAGACAAAAATTTAGATGCACGATTCATTAGAAGGCGTAATTTATGAACCAATCAATATTTTGTGTATCCGCCTTTTGCTTTAATACAACTAAGAACTCTTCTGGGCATAGACTCAACAAGATTTTTCCACATCGCTTCTGGGACCCATACCAGGTCTCCTTAAGGAATTCCTTCAGCTGACCAAGTGTGGAAATTTGAACCTTTGCTAATTTACGGTCAATCCAAGCCCAAATGTTTTCAATCGGGTTCAAATCAGGTGAATATGGAGGCCACGGAATTGTCATGATATTATTATCGTTGAACCACTTCTTTGAATAGTATGCAGTATGTGCAGTAGCGCTATCTTATTGAAGTTTCCATGGTTTATCATTGAGCATAAGCAGGTCAATTGATGGAATTAGGTTGTTTTCCAGTACTTCTATGTATATTCTGGAGTTGATTCTTCCGGTGTATGTTTGGCACATACCAACACCTTTGTAATTGAAGCATGACCAGATTCCTATCGAGCCTCCTTTACTTTGCACAGTTGGTCTAATGTACCTGGCGTAATACTTTTCGTGAGCCATTCTTTTGACTGTTATGTTAGATTTGCGATTGATAAGCTCAAAGTTACTCTCATCACTCCACATAATGTTTTCCCATTGATCTATTGTCCAATACCTTCTTTCACGACACCATTTTAGTCTCCTTTGTTTATCATATGGACGCAGAAGCGGTTTCTTCAAAGCAGTGTAGACTCCAATCTTGTATTTGATAAGTATTCGTCGGACTGTGCTTTGAGAAATAGATGTATTTCGCGTTGTATAGAATTCTGTGGTCAATTCTTTGTAACTAATTCTTGGATTAGCTCTGACAGCTCTAAAAAGAACACTATCGTCCTTTCTCGTGGTTGACAAAGGTCTACCTGGCCTCGTTTTCTCTCTGGCACCACCAGTGTGAAGAAAGTTTTGTTTCGTTGTCCGAACGCATTTCTCAGAAACTCCAATTAACTTGGCGATTTCTCTATTACTTTTGGTTCCTTCTTTGATATGCGCAATAATTTGCCATCTTTCACCTTGAGTGATACGTCTCTTGCCCATTTTTCGCGTCTTTTTAGTGCAAAACTAACTTAACTTTTGTTTATTTATTAATTAATGATTAACTAATTCCAGGCAAGTCATATTTATATAAGGTTTTTTGACAAAATCAATTAATTTAAGCCTTTTAATGAGAAATATGAGAAAAAAACTACTAATTAACTATCAATTAACAAGATATAAGACTTTTTTAATTGTGCGTCTAAATTTATGAACAAAATTATATCAAGTTTATCAATTAACTTTTTTGTGTTAATCGGTATAGAATGAGTAATAAACATCCTGTAAAAAAAAATTAAGGTACTCTATAATAGAGTTTCATTTCCTCTTTTAAATTATATATCAAACATAGCGGTAGCACTTTTATTTTATTTTTATTTTGAGTATTTTCTTACATAAATGAAAAAAAAAATGAATGCGTCTAAATTTATGAAAGCTACTGTATATATATATATATATATATATATATATATATATATATATATATATATATATATATATATATATATATATATATATATATATATATATATATATATTTGTGTGTGTGTTTCATATCTAATCTCATACCACTCTCAAATTTGATTTTGATAAGTTTATATTTGTCCCATGTTTCATCTGCATCCATTTCATCATTGACAGCTCTACGATAAAATATACCAGAAGGCCAAAATAATATTTTTTTTTCTGTATTTATCCACCTTCTTGGCACAACATCTTCTATTTCCTCATAATTTTGATCCATACAGCTCTTGCCCAAATCATGATGGTTGAAAACTAAATCATAATGGAAAAATGAATTATATTGTTACAATTATAAACAAAAACCTAATATAAAACATTCTTACTATAACTTGGAGTAATAAAAAAAAGTTGCTATAACAAACTTTAATTTAAACAATTTATAAAGGAATGAAAAGATATTAAAAAAACAACTAGGTATTTAATGATGTATATAATGATGAGGAAAAGCATTAAGTTGTCTCAAAAATAATACAAAAACCAAACAAAAAAAGATATTAAAATAACTGTCTGTCTGTGCAGTTTTTAAGTTTGTGCAGGCAATAAAATAAAAACAATGTTTAAAAAAATATTATCTTTAACAATTTTTAATTTTAACGTTTCACGTTTTCATTTTTTATTTTTTTTTATTTACTGATTTTAATTTAAAGAGTTTTTGAAAAATATTTAAATAATTGGATTAAAATAGATTTTTAAATAAAGTTACAATAATCTCAATAAAAAATGCTATTTTTATTAAAAAATATAACATCTAATTAACAAACAAACAAAAAAAGAGGAAAAATCAGAAAATAAGAGTTAAAAATAAGATTTTATAAAAAAAATATTATAATATATAATATATATAATATACTACAATATATATATATATATATATATATATATATATATATATATATATATATATATATATATATATATATATATATATATATATATATATATATATATATGAAAATATATATGAAAATATATATGTAAATATATATATATATATTTACATATATATTTTCATATATATATATATATATATATATATATATATATATATATATATATATATATATATATATATATATATATATATAGTCATGTGCATGAAAATAGCAGTGGCACAAAAAATTATAAAAAAACCTTATTAAATTTAATGATATGCATAATTTCGGACCATAATTGTTAATTTTTCATAATTAAGTGTTATCTGACACTATTTAGTCTAAAAAAAGCTTTTAAACTTAAATGGACAATATCATACTACCATTTTTTTAAAAAAGGTACTTTTATCACATTTAATGAATGCAGATTTACCATTAAAAAAGTAAATAAAATATAACATTGATGAAAAACTATTTATTCATCTTTTGAAAATACATCTAATACTTAGTTCCATGACCCTTATTTTTCAATACTGCTTTACATCTTCGTGGCATTGACTCGATTAGATGACGACATCTTTCTAAGGGAATAGCTCTCCAAGCTGCTTCAACTGCTCTCCAGAGTTCCTCTTTATTGGCTGGTCTAGACAAAGATACTGCTCTTTTAACATCCCCCCACAGGTTTTCTATCGGGTTCAGGTCTGGGGATTGTGCTGGCCAGTTCATTACCTCAACCTTATTCTCTACAAACCAATTTTTAGCTTTACGAGAGGTGTGTTTAGAATCATTATCCTGCATAAAGATCCACTTCAAAGGCATTTCTTCTTTTGCATATGGTAACATGACTTCTTGCAGTATTTTAACATAAGCAGTTGCATCCATGATGTCTTTGATCCAAAAAATAGGGCCTAATCCAAACCAAGAAAAACAACCCCATGCCATCACCTGGCAGCCACCATGTTTTATTGTCTTGGTGGTATACTTTATATTATATTCTGTTCGTGGGGGTCTTCGTACAAACTTTTCGTGAATACCTGGATTAAATAAAACAATTTTAGTCTCATCACTCCAAAGAATATTACGCCATTTCGATGATGGCCATTCTTGATGCTCTTTAGCAAATGCGATTCGATTTTTAATCTGTCTCTTATTTAGAAGTGGAGTTTTTCTGGGCCTTCTGGCTTTTAAATTGGCTTTTATCAAACGTCTTCTCACTGTCGAGGACGATATTGGTAAATTTAATTCCGTTTTTATGGCTGTGGAACTCATAAAAGGATTTATCCTTGCACATCTAATAATTTTACGGTTCAATTTCAATGACATTTTAAATTTTCCCCCACGCAATTCCGCTTTTTGTGTCCATTTTTTGGCATTGGAAATCATTTTTGCAGAACATTGTAAAGCATCTTGGATGAATTTGTAAGTTTTACCATCTTTTAACATATTTAAAATTATTTGACGCTTCTCATTGGAACAATGTTTTGCTCTACCCATTTTAACTGTAATAAAATTGTGAAACTTAATAAAAAATCATTTAATTTTAATGAACAAACACTTACCTTAATGTATAAAAAAAATTGATGGTAAAAACAACTTTTAAGGCACTAATAGAAAATAAAGTGTATATTCACTGCTATTATAACGCACAGTTAATAAAGCAAAATTTTATAATTTAATTTAAATTCTGATACATGTATGTATAAACAGCAATATTGCCAACCTCTTTATATTTAAAAACCCTAAGAGAAAATATTTAGAGAATAAAATATACAGAATTAACCATCAGTAAAAAAATTAAATGTATTTTATAAATAATTTTCTCCCACTGCTATTTTCATGCACATGACTGTATATATATATAAAATTAACATGATAAAATTCACTTATAACCATTTGAGGTAATGGAAATTATTAAATAATAAATGTAAAGAGCAACAACCTTTTGGCATGGACTTTCAATCGGCACAGACTTTTATTTCATTAATCTTTGGTATCAAGAAAATTTTAGACAGAATCAGTTGTGTATATAAATCACTTTGTAAATCAAGTTTAAATATTCTACATTTAAAAAATCCAGATGGTAATTTCTCATCAATCACTGAAATATTTAGTTTTTGAGATTTTGTATTAAATAAATATTGTAAATTTTGATACTGTTTTGTAATTTGAACAACCGGACTCTTTAAATTTTTCACTGCTTTCTTTAATGTCTGCATATAATTTTCAAAGGGAAAACAAGATATTTTATTTAGTGAACAATCAAATCTAACAACATCATCACAAATATGAAGTAAACAGTGAACATTATAAACACAAAATGATTTTGTATATAAATGTTTTGAATTTGTAACAAAATAATTTATTAGTTTTTTAGCAAATTCAAGATAATGATTTCTAACTTGATTATCTTCGTTTAAAAGAATCACCATGGCAACATGCAATGTTAGAAAGTGGTTATAATATTCTTTGCTAACAACACCCTTTAAAACTAAGGGACCAGTGTATAAAATAAATTTCCTGAACTCTGTTGCTTTCCAACGATCTAACTCAAAAAGGGAACGTGGTTGTCGAGCAAATTCAGATGGCATCATACCACGTAAGCTTAATAGATTACCAGATATATTTTTTATTTGGGTATTTGAAAGTCTACAATGTTTAGGACCTGACTTTAAAAAGGTAAGTATGCGTCTTACTACTCCAAGACAAACCATGTGCATATAGTCTAAAATAAAATCAGAAACACAAGATATTTGAAGCTGAGCTAAAGGAGTAAGAGATTTCTGATGTGTAGTGTACAAAAAGGTATTAAACTCCTCAGTTGATCTTGGAGTTGATAGGTTTTCATCAATAAAAACCACTCTATGATCCTATAATCACTCTATGATCATATAATCCTTGAATTTGGCACCGTTCACAAGAGTAACATCCTGTATGACCTTGTATACATTTAAGAAAACAACAAGAAGGTGCATCACATATGAAGGCTTTAAGTCTAACATTAATTTTTTTTATTATCGTAGTATATACCTTCATTAGATTAAAATAAAAATTCTTTGATGAAATCATAGAGAAAATCATCTAAGCAGGTTGGTTTACTATTTCCACAGAAAAGTACAATTATAAAAATATAGTTCTCTATTAAACTAAGTATTGGCTATAGTTGAAGATTAGAAGATTTAAAAAGAGGTAGTCCATCAACATTAACAGTAATAGATAATTCAGTATTTTTAGAATCTTTCTTTGTATTCAAAAAATAATGTAAGCCATCAACAATGGTAAAATATGCATAAGTTCCGCCACACTTCCTATCTACTGTAAAAACTTTAGAGGATTTTAAAAAGGACCTTCCATCTTTTGGCAACTCTGAATGACAATGCCTTCTGAGAATATTCAAAAGTTTCTTTAAATTACTTTGAGAAATGTTACTTTTTGACGACCACTTTGCCAAACCTTGTGATAATGTTTCTGTTTTCAATAATGTTGGTGCATTAAAACATTCAAAATTCTCATAATTATAACTCAAAGATAAATTTGTTACTCCACTTTCTTCTTGAATATTAGCAGGGGCCTCACAAGGTGTTTCATGCTCATAAGAAGCATTAAGTTCACGATTCATATTAGTGCTAATATCGATAACTTCATCTTGTGTCATTATAAAATCCAACATACTTTTATTCAGGCGACGACGCTTCATTCGATTTTCAGTTTCCATAAATAATGTTAAAAAATATATATAAGTCGAAGTTTAGAAATCAAACGTAAGTCAAAAAAAAACTTTTAAACTTTATATGAAAACTTATTAAGTTTATATGAGACACGAAATATTATCACGCCAATGCAGTCTTACTGTAGGACGTTTTAAAGCGGGCTATTTAAAATATTATACCGAAAATAAAAGATTGACGCACTGAAGACGTCATACGGAACCAAAGCAAATATTTGTCTTTTTAAAGATGTATATAAAAGGATTTAGATAAGCGCTAAAAAAAGGATTTAAAAAACTGGATATTAAACGTCTTGAAGACGTCTTTCTAAGACAAGATCATTTAAAGACCTAAGTAAGACGGTCTTAAAGACGCCTTGTGTTTGCTGGGAAGTGTTCACATTATAAAATAATAGACATTATTTTTATTATAAAATACTTCTAAATATTTTTAATAAAATAATACAGTGCTATTAATACTGAAAAATTATCCTTGGTTAGATAATTTTTAAAATTGCGTCAAAAGGACGAAAACATAGACGTCACAATTGATAGCCTTTCTTTGCCCACGGACGAACCTAATTTTGTCTTGATAAGTTCCAAACGTAAATATCTCATTTTACACTTGCCACAATTACAGTTATAGACAGTAAAATTCTATACGTTATAAATGCATTCGGAAATGAGTGAATAAATCACAATATCCTTGCAGCTTTTTCCACTTCAACCCGTAGAAGTTCCCGAAAAACCTTAAGTTCAGAAAAGTTCCAAAAACATTCCTTTTTTCAAAATTTAAGTTCTATTTTAGGTCACTTGAAACAATTTATCTTCTTTTACTGCTTTTAGTTTTTTGAAATGATACAAAAATCCGAACATAGTATCGTAATTAGTTATTTGTTCAAACCTTCTTTTCAATGACTGGAATGCAGTATATGCAATAAAAAAAAAATACTCTACTCTAGAGATCAGATCTCCTCATAATCAAAGAGTTTTCTTTTCTTTTTCTGCTAACAATGTTGCCGCCACAAAAACTGAACCTAAATTTCTGAAAAAAACTGAACTATCCTTTAAAGTAACTGCGACGCAACTCCAAGGTGCATTTTTTGAGCTGTAGGCTTTTTTTTTCATAAATTTTTTATTCATAACTGATGGTATTTCATTTTTGGCAAGTTTTTTAGATCCTTACTCAACTAGTTCAACTAACGCTGTATGAACTTCCTTAATTTGATATCGAAGCGCTTTTACGCCATTTTACTTTCCCAACGTCACAGGACCTCTTTACACTCAGATTTAGTACGTGTTTCATGAAAAATTTTTGACAAAGAAAAATTCTTTGCACAATACCAAAACACGTTATTAGGAAGTTGAGGCTATAACTAGCGCAGGGCATGTAAAATGCTTTTTGATTTATTTCTGAAACCCGTGTTTATACTCAAGAGTGGATACTTTTTATATTGAAACCGTTATCATACTATTGTCTAATGAAGTCCCTGATTTACAATCCAATTTCATCTAACTCTTGTAAAAGAACATCAGTTAGATTTTTTATCGTTGTTAATTTAACGTCTAAGAATTCAAGGAATTGTTCTTCAATGCTTACATCTTCATTTTCACTCTTAAGAGAAGTTACATTAATTTTTACAAATCGCATGACCAATGATAACTGCTCCTTCTGACTAAAATCCGCCTTGCAGCCTATTCATTTTTTATCTTTTTTTATTTAACTGTTTTTATTAATTTTATTTTACTTACGTTACTTTTTAACTTTATTTTTTATTTTTATTTATTTCATTCTCGTTTCTTCTTTTTAAAAATTTTGTTTTTTCTTCTTTTTAAAATTTGAAAAGCAAAACGAAATTTTGCCTGATCTATAGATTTTTATTTTAACTTTTTCACTCTTTAAAAAAGTATTTTATAGCCGTTAAACAAAAAAGCTTCAATAGTTTCGAACAATGATTTGCATTTTTTTGTTTGCTATTATCATGTACGAAGGAGAATCTTGTGGATATTTTTTTAATTAATAAATAATTGCGCGGGTATTTAGATATTTATTGCTCATATATTATTGTTATATTATTTTCATTTAACCAAAGCTTTTTTTTATCTTTTAACGACAGTAACGCCTTTTATTTTTTAACAAGAGTAAGACGTTGCTGCGCGAGGTCTTAACAATAAGTAAAAGTTTTGATTGCTCGTATTTAGGATGGCCTCGCTGCACGAGGCCTTCCTTACCGCGAGGCCTGGAGCGGCTGCTCCACTCGCACCACCCTAAGGACGGCTCTGCTAAATATAATATACATGGCAAAAATATAAAGAGATATAAAATACATAGCAAAAATACTACCAATTCTTATCTGGACATATATAATTCAATTCTAATCTAGAAACTTATTATTAGTCGTTCTAAAAGCACAAAAAAAAAAACAATAAAAAAACAAACAAACTGACTTGTTATATTGTTTACGAATTTTTTAAACTTCCATTTTTTATTTGCAATGCTTTAATTGCTTATGACGTTTTGAAACAATATCATTAGATAGGTTTTGTTAAAAGTGGAATGTGATTGGTTAACTTCAAAATATGATAATCGCGCGGTGTTAAATAGAAAGTTATGTTACTACTCAGGCTGTTCTTTGAAAAATGACTTATTTTAACTTCGTTCTCCCTCCAGCTACTGTATTATAACTCCTTGAAAAAAGGTAACTTCCAGAGATGGTAAAAACTTTTAATTATGTAATATTGATACTGGTATCATATAAGAATGTTTTACAAAAAATAACAATGAAAAGAACCTGGGAACAATATACACCTGAAAAATCAGGATCCACTGTCTCAAATGTAGAAAGAAGAAAAAACCAACTTTTTTATTGTAGCATTATAAAATAGATTAAACTTTATTGGAAAAATTAATTTATGTAAAAAAAAATGTAGTATCATTTACAAATAGCGACCATGGAAAGTTTGAAACCCCCTCTATTTGAGTGAGTTGTCAACTTTACGAGGTCATAACTTTTGAACGTTAAAATGTTTTTAATAACTGAGAATTTTACAGATGAGCTGTAGTCGAATTCATAATGTTAGAGTTTTTTTTAAGTGCTATAATTTTTTTTAAACATTAAAACATTTTAAACAATATTTGTATTAGTGTGAAAATACATATCTAGAGATTACTTTACTTGAAATATAAAAAATCACAAAATTAATCTTTTAGTATATATTCAATTATTTCTCAATTAGAGAATGGTTTAAATAACACAAATTAATGTTTACATTAATATTTATTTCCATTTACAATCAATAATAGTTTCTAAAACATACACATATGTATTATAACATGTTTAGTTTTAAAGTAAAACTGTTTTATTGGGAGTTACAGTGACTTTAAGCAGGCTTAAGCATACGTAATAGTGACTTTAAGCAGGTTTTGCGGACTTTAATAGGCTGTTCATGCAAGGGGTACATTTGATAGAACATTCCGTGGAACATGGAACGTGAACAAATATCCTCTCGTGTAAACGCAAATGAGAAAACAGAATTTCTGATTTCTGGAAAAAGTTATATTCCTAACAACGCTGTTAAAATTAATGGAGTTTCTATATATCTTCAAAATAAATTAAAACATCTGGGTTTTCAATGGGATAACGATACCAGCAAAAATAAAATTGCAACACTCCGAAAGAAAAATTTAAATGAGCGTATAACTCAGTTTCAATCAGTTGCAATAGCTCTAATCGACAGTGGGATTCGTTACTGCCAGCCATCAACAATTGTTCATCTGTACAATACATTAACAGTGCCGAAGCTTATATATGGTCTTGAACTATGTAAATATGATACTAATTTTCTCAGCAAAATAGATGCTGTTGGAAGAGCAGTCTTAAAATCATTTTTTTGTATTTCGAAGTACAGTAAAAATTACCTTCATTCTTTTTTTAAAATAGAAGATATCTCAACTATTCTCCTTAGGAACAAAGTTAATCTTTTTATCAGGCTGCTGAAAAATCAAACTTGTTACTCACTGATAGTTAATCAAATACAGGAAACACAGAATAAAAAATCCTTTACAAACGAAGTAATTGATGCATGCAACACACTTGATTTAAATTTCACACAGTGCATGTTAAATGGCAAAAAAATTAAATTGACGCAACCCATCGTAGAGCTACAAACTAATATTATGCTAATATTGAAAGAAACGTTCCAGTTTTGGAATTTGAAAGAAAAGAGAGGCGTTTAAAATCTTGATGGAGGAGAATGTTCCTAGAACTCTGTCCCAATAATATGTGGAAAACAAACCAGCTGTTTATAAGCATTTATTGCTAACAACTACAAGAGCCGCGTTGTTTTAGCTGATTTTTAATTTATTGTTTGACTATTTAAATATTATTTTACCTGTAATTTACTACTGGGTGATAAAGAGAAAATATAATAAAATGGAACAAAAATTCAAGGAACATTTGAGGAACTTTTGTACCGTCCTGCCAACCCATAACAAATAAATGTTCCAGAACTTTATTTGGTTTTGTATAAAAAATGGTGCTTATTTTCAATTATTTTTAAAATAAGTGTATGCATATAAGCTAAATGATTCAATAAAAATGCATTGCAAGATGCAAATTTGTTGTGAAAGTAACTCAAACTATTTTTTTTACAAAGTTGTTGTCATCTTAACCAGAGTTTTTAGTCCTTGATCTCTGCATTGTCCTAGGTCTTGGTCATATATCAAGACAAGATTATCAATATACTATTTGCCTTTCAACATGTTGCCTTGAAACTTTTAGTTTTTGCCTTCCATCTTTTTTATTGAATTCAAAACATTTCTTCAAATATAATTTCATATCTTTATTCATTGAGTAAAAACTTGTGGTAATTTCATGCAACCAAGGAAATTCCGATCCCACTCGTGTGGGATCAATCATGAGTAGACCAGATGGTGGGCAATTATTTAAAAACAATTATTGACCATCACAAATTTCAAGTTATTTTTAACGGTATTTAAAATTTGTATAAATAGAATAGAAATTTAATTATTAGTGTATTATTAATTTAAAAAGAAGTTATATATGTGTGTTTAAAAACTTAATCTTAAAATATAACATTACAAAGACAGTATTATTCTTATTAAGATCAGTTTTAATTTGAATTAACAAGAAGTATAATTCAAGGCAACATTTAACTTGCGTTAAGAAAGTTTAATTTTCGTTGTTTAATAGTTTTTATTTAATTATATTCTTGGCAAGCATTGCTATTAATGCATTTTTAATAAACTTATAGTAATTTTATTTATAAAATTCAACTTTGAACTAATAAGCAGAGTTGTTTATAATTGGCCTTGCCAACAGTGATAATAATAATAAAAATAATAATAATTATTATTATAATAATTATAATAATAGAATAATAATAGTAATAAGAATGATAACAATAACAACAATAACAATTGTTAATATTATTATCATTATTATCATCATTGTTATTATTATTTATATTAATATTATTAATGATATTATTATTGGTATATATTGTTATATATGAGCTTTGTCATATATTTTATTTATATGTCATATATATTTTATTATAATAGCTTTGTCTTATCTTGTTATTTTAATTTGTGAACATTATCATTAGTATTTTCCTCATAAATATTCTGTATTTACTTAATATTAGTTAATTTACTGTTTGTGAATAATTGTGAAAGTAAGACCTTTATTCAGAATATATATTATTGATTGACTGTATTGATATGACTGTACCTTATATCTTTGCCATAGTGTACTACAATTATTGACATTTAAAAATAAAAATAAATAATAGTGTTGAAAGATCAATGTTATTAAATAACATAATTATCACATTGCATGGAAAAGTGAAAAAAAGTAAAAGTTTCTGTTCTCTTGGCTACCAGATTTTTGCAATTTATTAAATTATTTAGTAAGCCCATAACATTATTAAATTATTTTAAGCCCATAACATTTATAGCAATTATGAAGTTTAACCTTTAATTTTATTATTAACTATTTCTCTTCTTTTTGTTGTTGTTGTTGTTGTTATTGTTGCAAGATTCAATGTACTTATCCTTTTTAGTAGGTAAAACTTTAATTTTACACAATGTCTCAGCATTCAGAAAAAGAGTGTATTGATGCTAGCACAACAAATATTGGTTTTTGCACATCTCCTTTAAATAAATTTGTATGGAATATGGCTAACACAAGAGTATTATTAGATTTATGGAAAGATAATTACAAAGCATTAACATCTGCAAGAAGAAACACAAATATTTACAAACAAATGGCAGCTGAATTTTCAAACACATTTAATATCGTACCTCCGTTAACTGGATATCAAATTCAATCTAAAATTGGTAATTTGAGGAAGCAATTTAGGTATGTACATATTCTACATTTAATGTTTGATACCTTACTGAAATACTGAAAGTATTTTACAAAACTAACCATGTGTAATAATATCTAATTCCAATTTAGTTTGTAACTGAGTGTTATATTAAAAATTACTTAAATCTTATTCCGCATTGAAGATTTACAGCTTGTTGATAATTATTTTGTTAATAATTTGTTATTTTATTATTTGTTAATAATTCGTTAATTTTGTTAATAATTATTTCGTTAATAATAATTTGTCCATTTGAAGTTATTTGATTAATGTTATACGGTGTTAATGATTTGCTTATATTTATGTATATTTTTTAGAGACGAGAAAAACTTCAAGTTGGTTCATCGGGAGGAGCTCCTAGTAAATTGCGGCCTTATGATATTGTTGCCAAAATAATAGGTAGTGAAGCTTCCCTTGACAATGACCTTTTATCTCAAAGTCAAAACTTTTTTACTCAAGATTTTCAAGATGGTCAGGTAAGTTTAGTATAATTTATTGTTGTATACTTTTAAGTCCTATATATTTTTTAAAGTAATATAAACAAGCATGTTAACTATTTCTACAAAATAAGGTTTAAGAGGTTCGTAGTTTTGCAACATTTGGCAGACTTAAAACATAAAGATCAAAAACATATAATATAAAGTTTTTGAATTATAAAATGGGATCTTTTAATATTGGCTAGATCAATTTGTAAAATGCTATTGTCTAAATAGATCCTTTTTGAAAGTCAAGTCTTTCAAAGTCGAGAGATAAATTTTGATTAAAACATGATTTATAATCATTTCTCAAATGTGTAATTTTTTTAATGTGTATATTTTATTTACAGATTGCCACAATAGAAGATGGCAAGGAGACTGTCAGTATTTTAAATATTGAAGCTTTGGATGATACAAGTGATGTGCAATCAATTGTCACTATTCCTGATGAGGAACCAACTCAATCTACATTCGGCTGCAATAAACGAAGGAGCTCTGATGATGAAAAAACTTTGAATAAAATAGCAAAAACTGAACCGGTGAAAAAAAACGATGCAATTGAAAATGCATCTAAAGCCCAAGTAGATGTGTCTAAAGCCCAAGTAGAATATTATAAATTTTTAATAAAAAAATAAGGTGCTCTATTAGTCAAGATATCTTTTTAGTAATTATGTTAAAGTTGAAAGGTCAGTATTTTTTCAACAGTATACCTTGTTTACAATTCTATGCAATATATATTTCATAAGGTTTTTCAATGTTTTAACTAAAGAGATGGTTAGTGAAATATTGTACAAGCTTGTAGATGAAGCTCTATTTATATATATTTTTTCATGTTACCATATTACTTTTATCAAAGAAATTTTTACTTTATGTAAAATAAAAATGTTTTGTGATTTCAAGCATTAAAATGCATATCTGGTGGTATTTTTTAAATTTGTCATATTATTTTATAAATACCTTTTTTTGTATCTCTATGCTATATATATTTAGTATTTTTACCAAATAATTTTTTTTTGCGATATGAAGCAAGCCTGTAGATGAATTATAGTGATATGTTTTTTGCCAACGTGTTTTGTTTTTAATTTATACAAATTGCATTTCATGTTTCATTTTTGTTTTTGTTAACAGATCATGCTGTATCAATTTTAACAAAATGGTTTTTAAAAATGTGTTTTAATTTCTCTTGAATTGTAATATAATAAGTATTATATTTATTTAATATATTTATATAGTTTTAATAGCTTTTTAGGGAGACATCTGTAAAGGAAAAAACTATTGGAAAATTATGGAAAGCGTTTTGGCCGTACTTCGATCAAGAAGTAGAACATTAATCAATGATGAATCAATCACCCATTTTCATATTTAGATTTAGCTTCCTTTAAGTTAAATCAACAAGGGTATCTGATTGAAAGAAAAGTTTGGGTTAGGCCGAAAAGTTCTCAATGGTTTAATGAGATTTTTAATCAAATGGAGGAATGTGAATTTAAAGAGCATTTTCGAGTAAACCGTAACACATTTAATTTCCTAGTTAATGAATTGCATCCACATTTAGGCCAAACTACCACAACTATGCGAGAACCTATTTCAGTAGTAAAACGTGTTGCAGTTGCATTACATTATCTAGCTTCATGTGAAGAGTATCGTGTTGTGTCTAGCCTTTTTGGCATAGGAAAGTCAACAGCAAATTTAATTGCTCATGAATTTATTAATGCTGTTAATGACATTTTGCTCCCTAAATATGTTAAATTTCCATTGTCAGTGGAAAATTTAAATAATCATAGTAGAGATTTCGAAGCTATTCTTGGTTTTCCTCAATGCGTTGGAGCTGTTGATGGATGCTACATCCCTATTTTAGCCTCTAAAGATCAAGCAATTTCTTATTATAATTATAAAGGGTGGTATTCCATTGTACTTTTTTCCATTGTAGACTGTCGATACCGTTTCATTTATACAAGTGTTGGATCGCCTGGTAAAAATAATGACAGCTATATTTTGCATAATTCTTCTTTGAAAGCAATTTTAGAATCAAGTCTATTTGATAAATGTTGTAAAGAGCTTGGCGATTCTCTTGTTCCGCTATGTTTGATAAGTGATTCAGCATCTCCTTTAACGCGTCATTTGTTAAAACCTTATCCTGAAAATTCGGAGCTTAGTGAAATTCAAAAAAATTTCAATAAAATACTTTACGGAGCTAGAAGAGTAGTTGAGAATGCTTTTGGGCGCGTTAAAGCTCGATTCGGTGTAATTTGCAAACGTATGGAATGCGATATTAACTTTGCTACAAGAATTGTTAATGCTTGCGTCACTCTTCACAACATTTGTGAATATTATGACGATATTATTATAATAGAATGGCTTATGCATCATCATGATGACAGTCTAGCTCAACCCAATACAGTTTCTACAACAGGGAACAATGGACCAGAAAAAAATGTTCGTGACTCAATTGCTAAATACCTTTATGAAAGGGACAAGTAAAGTAGTAATAATATTATTTATTATTTAAAGCTTTAGCTGTAATATGGTTATGTATTTACTTACTTTCCTTGAGGTTATCAAATGTGTCTAAATAAATATTAAATATGTATGAACACAAAATGAGATTAGTTTTAACTGGTCGTGGGTAACATATTAATGTATAATATGTTTATTTGGTACTATACCACTGATGGGCCACTATTCTGTGTCGTCAAAAGCGACTAAAGGAGATATGACCTATCCATAAAAGCCAAAAAACGGGATAACAAAATTCCAACGTCACCTTTTGTACGGCGGGTATTTTGGGTTGGGTTTCTATTGTCTAACTCTGAGCTAGCTAAACCCTCAGCGTTATTTGTATTTAGTTTTACCTCTCATAAATGTTTAAATATTAAAAATTAATAAATTATATTAACAATGTGTATTTGCCAAACTGTCACTAATTTTTATTCGAGTTTTACCTGCCGTTTTTTTACTCGTTTTTTCTTTTATGTACCGTCAAGCCAATTTTACATGTGAACGCTACAAGTAACATTTTGTTCCAGGAACATTTGTTCTGGAATAATGTTCCGCCGAACATCGCTAGTGTGAACATGGTATAAGGCTACTAGAAACTTTCTATCCACTCTCCCAAAACTGTCACGATGAACGGATTCAGAGGCCTGTTTCAAAAACCCAATTCTTCATTTGTATTGGAATTTGACATAAGTGAAAGAAATTCACATGTATGCTTGATAACAGCATGCGTTTTCGGTTACACTCGTAGAGCAAGGTTAACAAGCATCTTTGTACTCGTTGATGGTAGACTCGTATTCAGGTAACAAACTAAAAATAAGAGATGCAACTTTAACAGATTTTAAACATATAAAGGGGTTAACTATAGAAATGATATGTCATCATCTTTTCATCAAATCTTTTCGCAGTTTGAAAGATTTTATTAATTCTTCTAAGACATGAATATTGTTAAGCAATCTCCACCTTTAAGTTGACCACAATGCAGCTTAGGCCTTTGAAAATCTAAAATTTGGTTCCACTGGTTTGCCGATAAAGTGGCATCCGTAGATTACAAATATTTTTCATGATTACCATAAATTCTGTTTGTATTTCCAAAAAATACACGAAGTTCTATTGAAGCAAGGATTTCAATAACTTTTACGTCATCAGGCAGACCAACTAGTGGAAGTTTAACGTAATTAATTTAAAATTCTAGAAAGTATCCGTTCATTAACATTAGCTAATGAACGGATACTTTCTAGAATTCTGAGATTAACATGATTTTCAAAATCTTGCGTTATTTCTTTGCCTTGGTGTAACCAAGAGAAAAGATGTGTTGAAGCTGCCCTACCTTAGCCAAGTTCTTGTGTTAAATCTTTTTTATAAAAAAAATTCATAATATCTATTAATAATTTTTTTTGCGGTAGTGCAAGGAAATAAACAGAACAGAGAAATGTTGTTTATAATATAACCTGTAATGTAAACGTTTTTTTACCGCAGCAATTTTACTGCAATTTTACCGCAAATTCAAAATTTGCCGTAAAATTAGGGCCCAAGGTCCAAATACTTGTTAGGGAAAGGGGCAATTGTAGCACTTAAAAAAACTCTACCATTTTGAAATTGACTAAAACTCATCTGTAAAATTCTCATTCAGTAAAAAAAATAATTTTACCAAACGTTATGACCTTGTAAAAGTGACAACCCACTAAAGTAGCGGGGCTTTCAAACTTTATTTGGTCGCCATTTTTTAACAATAATAATTTTTTTTTTTATTAACTTTTCCGATGAATTTCGATCCATTTTAAGATATTACAAAAAAAAAAAAAAAAAAATTTCTTTACATATTTTGGGACAATAGGTCCCGATTCGTCAGGTGTATGTTGTTCCCAGGCACCTATCCCAGGGATATTACCATTGTAATTTTTTGTAAAACATTCTTATTTGATACCAGTATCAGTATTACAAAATTTAAAGTTTGCACCTTCTCTGGAAGTATACGATCTTAAACACCAAAAATCCATGACCTGCCCGTTTAACCTCTTCATTTTAAAGATACTGACAGAAAATTTTCAAAATTTAGGTTATAATAGTACAAAGTATCATGATTTTAAAAGTGCCAACTTTTTCTGGTGGACATTTTTTTCAAATAAATTATTTTCGATTCTTTTACGCAAGTATCTGTTATCTAAGTATAACAAGATCTGCGTAATGTATGTGGTTTGCAGTATAATGTGGTATATATTAAAAATTCATTTAGCACAATCGTTTGGAGCACATTTTATTTAACTAATTATTACATAAATGGTTTTAATCTGCTAATAACATTCAACAATCGAGTGTTAAAAGTAAAAATATCTTAATAAAATTATTTCCACGTTAAAAATTTCAACGTAAAAGTTTTTTAACAGGTAAAATATCTTATTTTGCTTTTATACTTATATATATATATATATATATATATATATATATATATATATATATATATATATATATATATATATATATATATATATATATATATATATATATATATATATATATATATATATATATCGGGATATATATATATATATCGGGATATATATATATATATATTATATATATATATATATATATATATATATATATATATATCGGGATATATATATATATATATATATATATATATATATATATATATATATATATATATATATATATCCCGATATATATATATATATATATATATATATATATCCCGATATATATATATATATATCCCGATATATATATATATATATATATATATATATCCCGATATATATATATATATATATATATATATATATATATATATATATATATATATATATATATATATATATATATATATATATATATCCCGATATATATATATATATAGAAGAAAATTTTCTAGAGGGGGCAAAACATTTTTTGTTATTGCTTTTTTTCCTGTTATCTTTTATGTAAAAATCAAGATATGTAAGATATAAAATAAAGATAAAAACTTAATTAGGTTTTTTCCGAAACTGTAACGAAGTATCACTAAAATTTTTTTCTATGTTTAGAAAATACAGGAGGGGGCAAGTGCCCCCTCCTGTATTTTCTAAATTTTCTGTATCCCCTCCTGTATTTTCCTGTATTTTCTAAATTTTCTCCTCTTGCCCCCCTTGCGGGCGCCCATGTCCCGGTGGGAAATGAGCTTGCGGCTAGCTAGCTTTATAGCGATTTTTAAGCGATTTTTTTTTTCTTATTTTATTCTTTACTAATGTCTCTAACATCTTTAAAAATTCGATTTTTAGTGTTGAGTCTATTATAATTATGAGAATAATTGAACTTTAAACATTGCGATTTTGTAGCAATGAGTCGCTAGCTACATATCGTAGCTTTGTAGCTAGCTACAAAATATCTACAAATCTATAGCTGGTTGATAGCTACATACCAAAATTTTTTTGATAGCGATTTTATTACGACATGACGCTAGCTACAATAGCCTGTGAGTCTTTAGCTTATTAAGCTAGCTGTCCTAGTAGCCAAATCGCTGTCTTTATCATTACAAATATCGATAGCTCTTTGCTAACTTAAAAAAGCTAGCGATCCTTGTGACCAAATCGCTGTCTTTATCGTAACGATTATAGCTAGCTATTCGCTAGCCAATTTCCCACCGGAATATAATCTGCATTATAATACATATTGAAAAACAAAGTTTAAAAATAAAAGATTTATGTTGTTATCAAGAACAGCAAAAACATCAAAAAGTACAAATCTAACAACTAAATGGCAAACTATAAAAACACGTACTTCATAAATTAATCTAATTTCATAATTAAATGTTCAAATTTTTTAATTCTTTATATAACCGTTTGTTTTCATATAGATAACTCAATAACTTCGTTACATAGCCTAAAATTATGTATCTGTTTCTTAACTTTAAAAAATTAAATGGTAGACATAATTAAGAAAATAATTAATAGTTTTTTTTGTTTTGTTTTGATATTCTTGGATACAAAAAGACCTTTATACGATGTTTTTTAAAATACAGTGTATTTAGTGGACTTCATGTTTGGTGAACACAATTCTTCTACAGTAGCTTATTTAATTATTTTATTTTTGTATTAGGGCTCATAAAACCGGCTATTAACACATGTTACAATATTTTAGATAAGTCTACTTGGTCTTTGGAAATATTTGTGAAAATTATTTTTGTTTATATATAGGTATATATTAGTTAATTTATTATATAGTTCATTTTTATTTACTTAGCTTTGAAGACTTCCATTTTACTTTTAAATACATATACGCTTTTCATACTTATGAAACTATTTTAATTTGAACGCATATGCGCTTTATACTTATTAAAGTATTTAATTTCGAACACATGCGCTCCACACTTATCAACCTATTAAAAAGATAATAATATTATTATTTTTTAACTCAAAATTTTTTGATAAACCGACCTTCTCAATAAACCGACCTCCTTGAAGAACCAACCATTATGAACCATGGCAATTTCATAAAGATCGGTTCTTCTAGGAGAAACCAATCTTTATGAAATTTAATGAAAGTCGGTAAATAAAACCAAGCTTAATGAAATTATGGCGATTCCATTAATTTTGGTTTATACCAGTTAAATATTATAAGTAGGAAAAGGTTATTAGAATTGAGCACTTTAAAATTTTTTCCAGAAAATTGTTCCAGAATGATTTAGTTGATGATTTAGTTAAAGAATAATGTTGTTTAATCGTTACTATTAAAAAGTATTTTTACTCAATAATAAACCTTTTATATATTATTTTCAGCACACCTAATCAACTCATTTTACGAAACCAGTTTCCTAAGATGGGGTGTGGGGTGTGGTTGCCATATATATATATATATATATATATATATATATATACATATATATATATATATATATATATATATATATATATATATATATATATATATATATATATATATATATATATATATATATATATATATATATATATATATATATATATATATATATATATTATATATATATATATATATATATATATATATATATATATATATATATATATATATATATATATAT